CATCCCAGGCCAGATAAAGAGGGCTTCCAAGTGGAAACCGGCAGGCTCAGGCTGCCCCTCCTCCCATGCCCCAGGTGGCCCCTGCCTCCAAAGAGGGGAGGGGAGGAGACTAGGAGCCTAGCCAGTGCTGCTAAGGTCAGAGGGCCCCCCACACACACACCTCTGGCCTCACCAGCAGCCCCTTCCTGGCCCTGACCACTTTGCTTTCAGACTGGCTTCCCCAGGTGGGGCTCTGGTCTAACTCCTGCCACCCCAGGCCAAAGACCATAGGCCCCGGGTATAGCAGCTGCAGCCACCAGTGGCCAGTGGGCAAATCCATGAGGCCCCCTGGGGAATGGGGCCAGCAGTCCACTGAGCCAGGGTCCCCTTGGAGCAACAAGGCCCCACAGGCCTGAAATCCAGCTAAGAAGTCCTCTTACCCCCAGCTAAGAGACCTGAGGTAGGACCAAAGTTCATACCAGGGACTTCTGAAGGGCACATGCCCCTTGTAAGGTGGCTTCCCAGGAAGACCACTGAAGCCAGCAGAATCCCAGGTTTGGGAAAGGGGCTACCTGCAGAACTAGGTGTCACCCCTTGAGTGAAGCTGAACTGCCTTTCCCTTCAGGTCTCAGCTGAGAGATATGTCCCCAGAGCTTTCCCAAGCCAGTGGTCAAGGCTGGGGGTTTGGCCCCCAGGAGGACACACATAGCCTGTGTTCATCCCAGGTGCCAGTGTCACCTCTGGGGTTGGACCTTTGGGCTTCTAGATCTGGCTCCTCTTGTACCAGATCGCTGAAAGCCTGAAACAGGGGCTTGGAACGCTCTGAAGGAGGACCCTTCCTTGCCTCTGCCCAGCTTCCAGGCACCCAACATCACAGGTATCAGATAGTCTATCCTGTCATCCTCACGTGCTTTCCTTGTGCAGCCCTCCCTCTGTTTGTTTTTTCTCTTCTCATGAAGACTGCAGTCTTCGGGCTGGAGAGATGGCTCAGTGGTCTAAAGCACCTACTTAGAACAAGCTTAGCAAAAGCATCAGGGACCGCGGTTCAATCCCCCAGCACCACATGCCAGC